AGATCAGAACTGAGATCGGAACTGAGACTGGAACTGAGACCAGAACGGAGACCGGAACCAAACCAGGACTGACATCATGACCAGACTAGGACTGAGACCAGGACTGAGACCAGGACTGAGACCAGGACTGAGGACTGAGACCGGGACCAAACCAGGACTGAGACCAGGACTAAGACCAGGACTGAGACTGGGACCAAACCAGGACTGATATCGGGTCCAGACCAGGGCTGAGACCAGGACCAGACCGGGACCGAGACCAGGACCAGACTGGGACTAGACCAGGGCTGAGACCGGGACTAGACAAGGACTGAGACCAGGACTGAGACCAGGTTAGTCCTGGTTTAGTCCTGGGTCAGTTCTGGTTCAGTCCTTTTTAGTCCTGAGTCAGTTCTGGTTCAGTCCTGTTTCAGTCCAGTCCTGTTTCAGTCCTAGGATCAGTCTGTATGCGGAGCAAAAGTCCGGGCCAGACTGATGGAAGCGAGTCTGCCAATCTGCACGCCGGTCCCCTCAAACCAAGTGTCGATCATACGACTTTAGAGTTGGGGGACCACTGCTCTAACCACAGAGAAACTAGCTCTAAAATACTTGAAACAATACTAGAACATTGAGAAACAAACAAAAACCTCCTCAAAATAAAATCAATATAAAATCAAGTACAGTAGATATGTTTTTTGCCCTGGGTTCTGTTCTCTCTGGGTTCTGTTCTCTCTTTAAAGTGGCACTTACACTCGTCCATCTGCTGCCTGCGTCACACCTCAGACTTTATGATCTGTGGGTTTGTCTTCACAGAGACTCAGGCATGTCCAAGAGGATTCAGGGTACAGACGGGATCAGATTGAGAAGAGCACGTTTCAAAAAGTGAGAGGAAGAAGTCCAGTCCAGTTAAGAACGAAAAACAATAAAATGGGAAAACAGTTTGTCATTTAATTATTCCGTTTTAGTGTCAAACAAAAAACAGATTTTGACCTCTATTTGCAATATTTAATTTAAAGTTTATTTCAAGTAACACCAATGTGACGGGGCCGTGCTTGTTCAACAGGATCATTTTGGTATCTACAGACCCGTGAACAGTTTAAGAAACATCAAGTAAATTATTCAGTAATTGAAAACCCTTGCACTTATTCTGGCCTTACAGCATTTTGATGTAAACCTCAGCGGTGGCGCCCCTGTAGTAGTTTACACCGATCATAATCCGCTGACGTTTTTAACATCAATGAAAAGCCCAAACTAGAGATTAGTCCGCCGAAGCCTATTTTTACAGTCGTACTGTCTAATGATCCGACATATACAAGGAAAAGAGAATCTAGTGGCGTCCGCATTGTCCCACACACCCGTTTTGTAGCTGTTAGGACGCTTTGTTGTGCTCTTTCTATAAATAAGGAGAATATTCAGTTTGTAGACTGGACAGCTCATCCAAGCTGCTTCTTCAGTTCAACTCAGTTCAAACTGAAGAAGCAGCTTGGATGAGCTGCGAAATGTCTTCAACCAAACTAAGGCTGCATTCAGACTGCAGCCTGAAGTGACCCAAATCCGATTTTTTGGCTTCTATGTGACCTGTATCTGATCTTTTAATGACAGTCTGAACGGCACAGATCCGAATTTTTCAAATGCAACCCAGGCCACCAGGATATGTGCTCCTGAATCCGATACATATCTGATCTTTTGACATGCGACTTCAGTCTGAACGGCCAAAGCGCATCCATCCGACCTACACGTCATTAACAAGCGACAAACGTCACTATTCTGCGCTGAAGCAGACGGAAACCGGAACTGTAAAATCGCCAGGTGCTTAATGCTCGCGACCGTGTTTGGACAACTTCCGTAAACACAGAGCACGCTCGCTGCGGTTGACGCATGGGGTTGACGTCATCGTGTCCTCCAGTGCGCATGCGGGACACTTTCGGTCCGTTTACCGTTCACACTGAAGTCACAGACAAGTCGCATTTAATTGGAAATGTGAACGACCTCGCAAAAACATCGGATTTCACAAAAAAATCGGAATTGAGCGTTAAGCCCTGCAGTCTGAACGTAGCCTAACTTTTGTCCAGTCAACAAACTGAATTTTCTCCTCATGGATTCTACCTGGGCGACTGAGGGATTCTTCACACTTCTCTTTCTATAAAGCCAGGGTCGGGCGTGTGCTTTCCCTCTCCTCCTGCTCCATCCTCCAGGCCTGCAGCGCTGCCACGCCACCACGCCACCGTGCCACCACACAGGCACACCGCCACGCCACGCCACGCCGCCAGCACCACACCACTATTCATGTTTTGTACAATAAATGCCCATTCAAGGGTTAAAATGTCCCCCTTGTCGTGTCCTCCCTAGTCTGTCCTTTGAGCCAGGGCTGTAACATCAATCAAAAAAAGGTCTCAGTTTCAATTTTGATATTTTATTCTCTTTAGTTTATTTGCCCCGGACGTTCTGCTGCATAGCGCCTCGTGTGAATTCAATGTCAACTGACCAAAGGAGAGTTTATAGACTCGCTGCTTCCTGTTTCTCGTCACGGAGTTCAACAATGACTTTCTAAGACGCGAAAGTAAACATGTTGCTATAAAAGAAGAGAAAATGTCTGTCCTCAAAATTAACCAGAGAGAATAAAATATCAAAACTGAAATAGGCATGATGAAATAAACTTTAAATTAAATATTGCAAATAGAGGTCGAAATTTGTTTTTTGTTTGACACTAAAATGGAATAATGAAAATAATAACAAACTGTTTTGCCATTTTATTGTTTTTCTTTCTTAATTGAAATTCAAAAGAACAAATGGTACACGGACTAATATTGCTTTTTTATAACTATACCATTATGTAGATCTTTATTTTACATTAAACGACTTAATAATAGAAACTGTTCCATTGACTTCCTGTTTAAAACCACAGAACTGATCGTGGAATTTCAGCATTTACATGTTTTTATTGTTGACCAAAAGCTATGTGGCATTTTGTTTTTATTTAGTTTAGTACATAATAATAAAAAAAAACAGTCATAACCTGATTCAAAGCTGTTTTTAAAGTTGTTTTTGCTGAATAAATCTCCTTTAAACACTTTGAAACATGTGATTAGGAATTACATAAACAGTTAATATTGTGTACGCCGTACTATTTCAGGAATATGAAGCATTTTGAGCTAAAAATAGACGCTGATAACGATGTTGTTCCTCCCTTTCTGCACAGGAGGAGAGTCAACAGTGGTTTATGATCTCACTCAGAGTTTCTTCAGCTCTGAATAAATAGAGCCTCATGTAACATCATCCTCCTTTTTAAAAACATTTTTCACCCCCACAGAAAATATTTGACATTCTGAGAGTCACCTACTGCTGTGAAAATATTATTTGAAACTCAATTTTCAATATGAAACCACAGGGAAAAAATGCATGCAATTTCTTTATGTTACCTTGTCCTGTTTATTTACTTTATTTTTTTAGTACCAATATCTAGTTTTAATTCAGATTTTAGTATTATTTAGTTTCTGTTTTCAACACTTTTTCTAACCCTAATGCAACTAGATCTAAACCTGGACTATATCAGGACTAAACTGAGGTTAAAATGAGACTAAACAATGGATAAGTAAGCCTGAAGTGACCCAAATCAGATTTTTTCACACCTATGTGACATGTGTCTGATCTTTTAATGACAGTCTGAACGACACAGATATGATTTTTTCAAATGTGACCCAGGCCACTTGGATATGTGGTCCTAAGGAGGAGAGTCAAGGCTGCTGGACTAGGCTTCCCTGCTCTCATGTCTTTTTATCGATGTGGAGTGGAAAGTGTGTTGATCCAGTCCATCACAGTGTGGTACGGCCACTGCTCAGCCCAGGACAGGAAAGCTCTGCAGCGTGTGGTCAGAATGGCGGAGAAAATCACTGGATGTGACTTTACACCCATCAGTGAAATTTATGAGGAGCGTTGTAGAAGACGGGCCTCCAGGATCATGGGGGACCCCTCGCACCCCTCCCACCACCTGTTTGTTCCTCTGCCCTCTGGGAGGAGACTGAGGAGCATTAAAACCAGAACATCTCAGCTGAAGTTCAGCTTCTTTCCTGAGGCTGTCAGACTTTTGAACAGTGCACACTGACTTCCTGCTTGGGCTGCCTCTCTATCTTGCCACGTTTTTTACTACTTGTTCATTAGAACTGCTAAATGTTGTTGTTTTGATGTATTTACTTTTTAACATTGCTTATTTATTATTATTTTTATCTCTTTCTGGATCACTGGGCCTCGGGGAGCACATTTCGTTCTGTTATGTGTTTCTCTCGCATGCTTGAATGACAAATAAAGAACTTTGAACTTTGAACTTAAAACTGATACATATCCGATCTTTTGACATGTGACTTCAGTCTGAACGGTCAGGTCACATTCATCCCACCTACACGTCAGGCTCAGAGTCTAGTCAATGGAGGGAAAGCGAGGTTAGTGAGTTTATTAATATTTAGGGGGATCGCTGTATTCAGGCAAAATTGGAGGGAACCACGCGTTTTTAAAATCATTGCCACAGAAATGGCTGAGCGCGGCTACAAGTGGTTCTGGCTCCAATGTCAATGAAAAATAAAGAACCTGTGAGCCAAATACAAGGAGGCTAAAGACTCAAACAAACAAAGCGGCTGTGGGCGTGTAACCTGTCCATTTTACGAAAAACTGAACCGTATTTTGGGAAACAAGCCCAGCGTTTGTATGTGATGTCGTTGCGTCCTTCAATGCACATGCGGGACACTTTTGGTGCGTTTAAACACTGGAGATCACATACAAGTCACATTTAAGTGGAAATGTGAACGACCTCGCAAAAAAATCCAAACTGAACATTAAGCCCTGCAGTCTGAACATAGCCTTAGTTCTAAATTTAGCTTATCCCAAAGAAAGACAAAAAAAGAGTTTCTAAATAAACCAAACACATAGACTGCAGAGAGCCCAGAGTCAAATCAGAGGCAGCCTGCGTGTCACCAGTGGGACCACAGTTTGAGAAACACCGCTCTAGTTCAGTGCCTGTAATCAGTGCGTACCTGTAATGAGACTGGAGACCAACAGGGGCAGCACCAGCATCTGCAGCATCCTCATGAGCAGCTCTCCGGGGAAAGAGAAGAACTTGACCTCTCTGTAGGACAGGTGGTACTGACGCATCGCGAAGCCCAGGATTATACCTGACAAAATAAACAACATTATAACACAGTGTTTTACCTGACAAAATAAACAACATTATAATATAGGACAGCAGTTTTCAATAGGTGAGACACAGGGGAGGCGCGACACACACAGAGTTAAACATGACTGATCCCAGGACTGAACTAGGAGGACTAAACCAGGACTAAACTAGGACTAAAACAGGACTAAACCAAGACTGAGTGTCAGGACGAGCCCGGAGGTGTGCGTAGACCATCAGGTGACCGCAGGCAAAAGGACCGGCTCTTAGCTCTTAGGCCGTCGCCCGATAGCGCTTTGCGGACTCCCGACACAAAACAGTGCACCATGGGACATATTTTGAAAGCTCATTGCGGGCGCAGGTGGGAGCGGGACTGCAAAATGTGGGAGCGGGCGGGTGTGATTATAAACTGCAGTCGCGCAAACTAAATAAGAGTGTAAAGCAAAATATACAAATGATTAATGTATGCCTATTGTACATCATTTATGCTGGATATTTTATTTGGCATTAATAAAAAACATTTTAAACAGCCTAAACTTGTGGACGCTGTCTTTTCCTACTCACACTCACCCAAGTTGAAAACCCCTGATATAGGATTATAAGTGTCACCATATACAACAGTCGAAAATTACAGATCAGGAATAATTTTTGAGCAGATATTTGGTAAATGGTCACATTTTTATACAGCGCATTTCCCAGCTTCAAGGCACTTTACCTCAAGGAACCACACACACATTAACACACCTGTGTACGCAGACACTGGGGTGAGGGGGGTTAAGTGTCTTGCCTGGGGACACGCATTTATCTGTGGCAGCTGGAAATGCATCGCCAACCTGTGGGTCAGTGGATCTGAGCGCTCAACCAATAATGTTTGTGTGAAAAGCGGGATTTGAACCACCTTCAGATCTGTGGACAGTGTACAAACACTCGCTGTACAACACGCGATATAAAAATGTGACCATGTGTGACCATTAAGCGATACCAGTGTGAAGAAGACTGAGAATGGCCTTTCCACCCAAAAAAACACAAATGATGTTGTTGACTCAAAGTAATGTATAAAGCAAAGGGCAGTGTATTACCTGTAAATATTCAAAGACTCTTTTGAGATGAGAACAAAAACACAGATTCAGAACCAAGGTCATGGAGCAAAGCATCGCTGTGGAAGGAGTTGATTTATGGAATAGTCTTGACAAAGATATAAAACAGGGTATCCCCCAAAAGACCTTTTTAAGACCACTTAAATGAAAATTAAGAGCAACATCGCAGCCATTATGCGGGCAAAAAACACCAGATCCTACTCTAATAATGACCAACCAACTACAATATCTAGTATCTAAGAGCCACTGTGGATTAAATCTACACTTCCCCATGATCCATCCAGCATTTTCCTCCACTCTACTGATTGTTTATTGTTGCCGCCAGCACCTGAAACCAAAGTACTGTTTGCACAAACTCCATATTAGATGTTCATTCATGTTACGTTTTTTCATGTTGTTGTTTTTTTTCGTCACTCCATTTAACATTACACTGCTCCCGGTTGAGTTTACATGAATTGAGTTTAATGAAATTTAAGACCTTTGTGAAAAAAGTAAGACTTGGATAACATAATTTAAGACTTTTTAAGGTCTTAATTTAGGAACATGAAATTTAAGACATTTTTAAGACTTTTAAGGCTACCCTGTAAAGGAATCAAGAAAAATGATGGCATGTAAAAACAAATAAAATAAAATCAAATGCAATGTGTACACTATGAATGAAAAAGGAAATTAAGTGGTTGTGCAAAATAGTGAAGATTTCTGTTTGCAATTGATTAATCATTGAACTAAAATGTACTGATTTGAAATGTTTAGTAACCATCAGTGTTGATGTTGTGTCTAGAAAAGGGAAAGGGGGCAGATAAAATAAGCAAAAATATGGATAAGGGGTGTGCAAAAATATCAATATATCGTATCATTTAATGTGCTCATACAGTATCGACATCCTGGGCTGCTGTATCGATATAGTGTTAAGAGTTTTTTTGGTATATTCTACTAAATTATTTTGTTACAGAAACTCATTTATGTGACACATTTGGCATTTTCACTATTCTGATGATTAAAATGTTTGTGTTTCATATGAACTTTGCACAAGAAGTGGTTTAACAAAGACTTTAAGTATCACAGCCATGATTTATCCTGTATTTTTTTATTGAACCGTATCGAATCAATTTGAAATATACTGTATCAAACCGAAAGTGCGCTGTATCGAGATCTGTATCGTATCGTGGCTTGTGTATTGAGGTATATATCATATCGGCAACTTCTGAATGATAACCAGCCCTACATAAGATTGCTCTTCTTTCTGCTCTTTTTCATTCATTTCTTGAATGTTTGATGTTGTGACACTGTTGATGTCTTTTTACACCGTATTTTCAGGGCTATTAGATGCACTCTTAAGCCTCTAACCCCATCAAAAACGACCGCATGCCCCACAATCCAGATCGCCCTATACACGAATCCACTCGGGTGTCCCAGCACGACTTCAGTAAACTACAAAGCCGCACCACCCGCAGCGCACGCAAACACACACGGAGCAGACAGCGACCGCACAGCGAAAAACACCCACAGACACACTCATCACTCCACGCCGATGAGGAACGGAACGAAGGAATGAACCGAAAAAGCGAGAGCAATGTGCCACTTCTAGACACGACTGAACAACTGAGTCACTGCGAACACGCCGACAATCCAGCGGTCCCAGACAGCACCCTCCCTACACGCCACAACTGAACAAAGCCCAGAGTCACCGTGAACGCCACAAACAAACAAAACCACTGACCCATCCAACTGTTGTGTTTCGTTTAAAATCCGGTGCGGTTTATTTGTGAAAAAAGCTCGAAAATAGACCATTTAATGACAATGTGTCTTATAATCCAGTGCGCCTAATAGCCCGGAAAATACGGTACTTTATGAATGAAATAAATAAACAAATAAAATGATGTAAAAAAAAAAAAAGTGATGACACTGATAGTCACGTTAGTTTATGGTCAAATTTTTTATATAGCACTTTTCCACCTTCAAGGGCCTGGAAGCGCTTTAAATCGAGGAACCACTCACCCATTCACACACACACACACACACACACAATTGTGACTTGCCTAAGGACACAACAACAGCATTCATTTGTGGGAGCTAGAATCGCACCTCCAACCAGATCCGTGGAAAAACTCTCTAAACACTGAGCTCCTGCCGGCCCTGATTAGTTGAAAGTTGATCCAGTTGCGGTGTCTACTTCTTATTTATCTCGCAAGTAACTTCTCACAAACATTGCAAGAATAAAAGTTCAAACATTATTGCATGCATCAGCCGGTAAATTGCATTATTGCATCAAATTAAACACTCAACCAGGGCTGATCCGATATCACGGGGCAGATACTTGATCCAGCAAAATTACCCGGATTAGAGCCAAAATCCAATGCCAGCATCCCTACGTATTTATTGGCTGCTGTTGGCCCGGAGCGTTTTTGTTTGAACTTTTATTCATACAAAGCTGTTCAGTAAGTGCTACCAGGATAAATAAAAGTTACATAACACAACTGAATTTTGTAATAGTTCAGATGTGGTTTGTGGGAAGGAAAACGCCATTTGATACTTAAAGGGCCCATACTACGCTATTGTCTGATCTGTGCTGTGAGCCGGTTTTGGTTTCATTCACATGTTTAACCCGCAAATCCTGCATATTTAGGTTGAGTTCATCTCTCAAAACACTCTGTTCCACCTTGTGATGCCACGTGGTGATACAGAGAGTGCTCCACTGTGTGTTTAAACTGTACACTTTCACCTTCATGTGTGAATGAAACAAAACAAAACTCTTGAGTATGTTTTTGAGGAAGAAGGCTAGGCAAGTTTATTTGTAGGGCACAGTTTGTACACACTGTAATTCTAAGGGCTTTACAGAATGAGAAATACATTAAAAATAAAAATAAAAATAAATCAAAACATAAATAATTATCATAAAATTAAAAATAGAGAGAGAGACATTAAATTAGACACATTTTCAGGAGTTTGTGTACAATACGATCGTTCATGGTCCTGTTTAGGAGTTTGATTTTCAAGAAAATTTATGTGCGAGAGACTTATTTTAACCTCACAAATCATCTCACCTGTTGTAGTTCCCACCAAGTCAGCTCTTTCTGGTTTGATTGTGTTAAAAGAATAATAATTTTGCAGAGTGTGGAATGAAAAATGAAAATGTTTTAGTCATACGCAGCTGAACAGAACAGTTTTGAGGCTGGATTTAAACAGAGTCAAAGTAGAGTCCTGTCTCATATCTTCAGACTGTTCCAGGTTTTATTTGCATGAATCTGAAACTCTGACTCCCCATCTTTAGTCCTGACTCTGGGCACCAGCAGGAAGCCAGTCCTTGAGCCTCTCTAAGTGCGAACTGGTTCATATGGCACTAACAGAGATGGACTTTGGTGCTCGGCCATGGAGAGACTTGTACACGATCAGAGCCGCTTTAAAGTCTCTGAACCACAGGGGACAGTGCAGAGACCTGAGCACAGGACGCATGTGTTCGTATTTCCTGAGCTGCAGCATTCTAGATGTACTGCAGCGTCTCACTAGCCTGATTCATCAGCCGGTTTCACTTTGTAGAAACCGTCTGACCTCGCAGTGTTAGAATTCGTGTGCTGGACTGTAGGTAGTTACTTTTTATCATTTAACCAGTCACTGTTGTTTGGTTGTCACGTATGCAGTGCACCATTAACGGGGATAACTGGTATATGAAGCTTTTCCCAAATCCCGTAGGAAGAAGGACAATAACGTCTTTCCCCTTGATAAAATTCACCAAACATTCTCTTTATTCCGACTTTAAATCCTACATCTCGGGAATCATTGACAACACTGAATATCTGGCTCTTCACTGATTGGCTGGTGCCCGAACTTGCACTTCTGGGGTTTTTCCAAACCGTCTATTATATTTTGATTCCTGACCTAGTCACTGGAGAGAAATGAAATTGAGCGGAGGCACTAGGCGGCACCAGCCTGACTTGAGTCTCACAGCTCATTTGGAGAGCCCAGTGATCAGGACGTTACAGTATTTAAACTACTGGAGACGAATGCATGGATAAGTCTCTCCAAGTCTGCTTTAGTAACATCATTCTAACATGACTTAACGCTCACAAGAGTCAATTTTGCGTAATATAGGACCTTTAATGCCAACGAACTGATATTGGTGGATTGTAGTTATGTTGTAAATTAATATTATGCAAGTCAGTACAAGATCTAGTATGAAATCACATTCTTCATATTCTCCCTGTAAACACATGTACGGTAGAGCGGAGGAGGAGGAAAAAGACCAGAGGATCAGACAGTTTTAACCGACGTAAATCACCACGGTTAAGTAATTAAGTAGTTATAAGTCTGAATTATTCTTTATTATTTTATTTGTTCATTACTAATTAAAAGGGCGTGTCCCCGTTTTTTCCCATGTATTTGAGCCAAAATGTGTCTCACCCCAGTACAAACACATGGTGTAAGCAGCTCTTGAGGTCTGCTGTGTACTTTGATTTGAAAGTATTTCATTGTCCAATAATCAGAAAGTGTGTGTTAGCATGCTAGTTGTTGGTAAATCTCTGGTCTGGTCTCTGAGGGTTGTGAAAAGTGCTTATAAACACGTCATGGTGAATAATTAGGATGTTCAGAATGCCTAAAGTAAGTGAGGAATAACTTTGGACCACTGCAAACTGTTTCAAATGAACAAGTTTTGTTTTTCAGGTTTTTAAGAAGGTAAAAAATCAGGTGCAGTGCCTTTAAATCTTGGTCCATGTATTAATTGGGGTAATTAAGTTGTAGTTGTTATTAAAAAGTAGGGATGTAACGATATCCAAATCTCACGGTGCAATATTATCACTATATGCATCTCACGGTACGATATTTATTGCGTAATTTTGAAAAGGCTAATATAATTTTGCTTTTAAAGTATCTTGACAAGATTTTGGTGTGAATTATTTACATCATAATCCCAAGAATTCAAGTAAAAACAGATTTCTTTGTGTTGTTTGCACTGAAATGAATCATGGGATATGTAGTTCCCGATGTTTATGAGCTGTTGCTACTGTAAAACCATGCATTTAAGCAAATGAACTTGTGATTCAACGATATTATTGTGAGACTTTTGACGATACGATATCACGATATTTCGGTTATTGTTACATCCCTATTAAAAAGCGTTACCAATTTATCTCTCTCTGTGGAGACAAACGGGTGACGACAAACAAACAAAAAATTCCTTGGACAAAATGATCGATTGATACTTTGGAGCTGACATCAATGTTCCCTGGGGGTGTGTAGCTAACTGAAAGCACTGCTCTGTCTGAAGCTCATGACTCAATTTAGATGTTAATCTGAGTTTAATTTTAACAGAATTTGACCATAGAGAAAAATCCCATCACCGTCTCACTTGCAAAATGTGAGATTTATTAAGACATAAATTCATTGGGCGAATGAAGGCCTAGTGCCGAAATGTTGTATGTCTTAATTAGGGGTGTAATGATATCCAAGTCTCACAATACGATATTGTCACGATATAAACCTCACGGTGCGATATTTATTGTGATATTGTGGGAAAGATCACGATATGGTGGGGAGGCTCACGATTAAGGATGCAGCAATACCCAAATCTCTTGGTACGATATTTTCATGATAAACATCTCACAGTACAATATTTATTGCGATATTTTGTGGAGGCAAAACTGTTAATATGCTCCTTTTTCCTCTTAAAATGCCCTGATAATACTTAATCCAAAGAACTAAGCAAGCCCCAGGGTTTTAAAATGGCCGCCCATTCAAGTCAATGGGCCGAGCACAATGGCATATGATCCCAGATTCGCCTTTAGCCCGGCGAGGTACTTCTAGTGGCTGTGGGCCGACCGAGCATTCGCAGTAGTGCTCTTTTCTCCCGCTGGCACAGGCGAGCGCACACATGGAGCGTGGGCTCGTGTATCACATGATCGCTTTGACCAATAAGAGTGAGAGGAGCTAGACCGGAGCCGGAGCGAACGATTATAAAGCATTTTTTTACAACTGAAGGGTTTTGAGCTGGGAAAAAGTGTATGATCTAAAAATAGGTAAAAATCGCCAACAAATCCGACATTATTGAAAGTTGTCGTGCCCTGTCAGGCAAACACGAGCAATTTGTGATTAAATTGCGTTCTATGAGAAAAATCTTGTATCAGCCCAGGGGATTTTTCCACTCAGTCCAGTGACTGACCACTACATCAACTGGAGGCAGCTACAAGCAGAAATATCCTATCTAGTTATTTTAATAGATCCATGGAACTAAGACTTAAAAGTGCTTAGGTTATTTCTTCTTGTACACTGAAACGGAGCAAAGGATCATGGTCTATGTAGTTCCCTCTGTCTTCTTTTAGCTAGTGCTGCACCATAACTCTTAATTTAAGCAAAGAGACTTGTAATTTGATATATTGTGATGGTCCACGATGTTATTGTGAGAACTTTGACGATGCGATATCACAATATTTGGGTTATTGTTACATCCATAGTCCCAATAAATCTCACATTTTGCAATTAAGACGGTGTTCATGATTTTTCTCTATGTTCTTAGGCTGCTCCCTCTCCTCCAACGCACCCGTTTCAATGAAATGATGTGCAAAGTTTTTATTCTTTTAACACAGTCTGACCAGAAAGAGCTGACTTGGTTGGAACTACAACAGGTGAGATGATTTGTGATGTTAAACAAATCTCTTGCACATAAATTTTCTTGAAAATCAAACTCCTAAACAGGACCATGAACGCTCGTATTGAACACAGACTCCTGAAAAAGTGCTGTGTATATCCGTTTTGTAATTTCTTTTGAGTTTTCAGACTATTTTAAAACTTTTTTTGTCTGCGTTTGCGAGATGTCACTGTATCAATTAAGTATCAAGTATCAATTGGATCACTAATTTCCTAATTCCTTTTAACTTCCAGGTGGCTGAACTTTGACCTCCAACGAAAGAACGTCCTAAATATAAGCCTCTTTTTTCTCCGGCTCTGTGAAATTCGATCGGAGCTGCAGATGTGTGGCCGGAACCGCTTCACGCTGAGAGAGGGTCAGGGGTTAACAGCCAAAGGTCAGAGTTCAAAAGTCAATCTAGTCAAGTCAAGGGTCAATCCAAGTTAATCTGGGATTCCTAGACTCTTTCTCTGCTTTGCGCATTCTCTTATCTTAGTGTTTGATTGATGGGGTGTTAATGGTGAAGACTGACTCACAGATTTCATGAATAGAGTTGTAAAAGTTGAAAGAATCCATTGTTTGCTATTATAAACTACTTGTTCGATTACAGTATTTTGCCTTAGGTCTGCAAGATAAATCGCAATCAGTCAGCCAGAAACAAACACTTTGACAAAACTTTATCTGGAGCTGTTTCCTGATCTACCTGATTTCAGAGGTTGTGATTGACAGGTGGATTAACCAATCGGAGAGATATTCAAGAATCAACAATCGAAGCATCCAACTATTATCTGAGGTAAAAGAAGTTTTATATTTTGTTGTTGTTGTTGTTGAATGATGCAAGAATTCTGGAGAGGAGATGTCATTCGCATTTGAGAGACAGACTGGTGTCTGTGGTTGGATTGTCTCAAATTTGGATTAGGGATGGGCATTCAATAAAATTTTCTTAATCGATTCGTTGGGAGAATTAACAATCGATTTTCGATTAATCATTAACGTTTTTATATTAAAAATATCGTCATTAGTATTACTAATCTGCATAAATAAACTCAACTTTGCAACATTTAAACCATAACCACTATAGAGCCACATCAGCCTGTTTGAGATTCTGTGTTTAATGCAGATTTGCACAGATTTGTTTACGTCTTACAGAAACAAAATTTAAAACCGCATGGCTCATTTACATAAACTAAAAGCCCTGCTCTTAGCTCTTTATTTAACATTTCACTCACTTTATTTATGTTTGTCAATATATTTATTTTGGCTACTGTTGTGATAAAAATACTGAAAAGTGTCTTTTGAACGCATGTACTTTATGTTGCAGTAACTGGGATACTGCATTTACATGCACCATGACAGGACACTGATGTGCATGTGAACGCATTCAGTGAGTATTACAGTGATCGCCAAGGAGGTGCCAGAGCCAAAACGTGGGACTGTGAGGCCGCAACTCCAGTGTGGATGGAGGTTTTTCACACTCTATGGTCTGATTCCAGACATTTCTGTATTAGAACAGAATGTAGAAAAGATTAGCTGCTCAGGAAAATACCCCCCAAAAGTGAAAATCAGTAAAATTCTAAATAAAAGGAGTGTGTTTTGTGTTTTTGTGTTTTGTGAGGGGGACTTACCGATCACGACTGCAGCCACGGTGAAGATGACAAAGGCGTTCTTGATGAAGCATCGTTTGACATCTTCTCTGGTGATGGAGCGGATCCTCTGCTGGGCCCTCGCAGACCGGGCCTGGATCCGAGCTCGGACCTGCTGCAGACCGGCCCGACTCCTCTGAGCGCTCTCCCCGTTACTCTGCGTCATGGTGCTGCAGAAAAAGCATCAGAAATTCATAATTAAGTATCTTATTAGTAGGAAATGCGATACGATCTGAGCTGTGGAAGGTTGAATTAATATGTTCTATGTCTTGTTTTTCAATTCAAGTTTTAAAACAAGTTTAGCTGACAAGTTTAGGAACTGCAAGAAAACCAAAAACAACAGGCCTAAATAAAATAGACTTGTTAACAAAAGAATAGTATAAGTCTGTAGTCTGGTTTACAGCAAGGACTTGTTCATAAAAATTTACTTGAATCAACCATTGTTGAACCAAACACAACCAAAACAATAAATAAAATGGACTATTAAATCTCTGTACCAAAATTGCCCTTAAAAGTTATTTTAGTTGATTTATATTGGAATATTGTGGCTCGTCTCTCTGTGGCTGCTACTGCAAGCCTCTGCATTTTGGTTTTGAAGTGTTTGTATTAACTTGCTCTACAGGATCCTATTTCGCTATGAGGGAGCCGCTGTCCTGTCTGGTATCGTGTCGGCGTCTTGTGGGATTTCATCAGATTTTGTGTGGATCAGGTATAAGTGTATGTTGGCTGTTGGGGTTTGAGCCATTTCGTTTCATCGTTTGCGCGCTCGCCTGAATTTGACGCATGTGGCCATTGAGAAGTGTCCCACTCACTAGTGTTGATTTGGCATCGTGACTTGTTTTGTCTCACGGAGATGAACTGTTTTGATGCTCTGACAGCGGCGTTAGTCCTGTGGCTTCGTGTGAACCGCACAGACAGTAGAGCTTTCTGCACTCAGGCTGCACGCTGTTGATAAACACAGCGGATAATAATCCGTCTACAGTCTACGCTGCCACATTCGTTCAAGCTTCATTACGCTAAGGAAACGAGGAGTCAGAGCGATAGAAGACTTATGACATTCAGTCTCTTTCATAGAGAGCGAGAGAGACGAGGAAAACAAACAAGCGTGCAAATAGAAATTATCGCGGCCGGAAAAGTTATCGGGCTTGTTAAAAGTTATCATATGATTAATTTATTTATTGGGGTCCGGTCAAGCGTTAACAGAGGGAAACAGGGGCAGATTTTTTACATTCAAATAGCTCTTATTCAGAAACTAGAGGGACTATTGAAATAAGTAAAGTATCAGAATGTAGGAAAGAGTTAACACTCCAACAGGGTAAAGTTAAACCTGTGATATTCTTTCAAGTTTCAAAATTAAAAAGCTCATGTCGGTAACGGAGGGAATGAAATATGCAACACTTTTTGGACAATAAATACAAACAGTGATAACTAGCGGTTCTCACTTACATATCCTTAACAAACTGGTTTGAATATTTGCTTCATATAGTTTTCTACCATATGGTACAAGATTAGGTTGAAAAACCTCTTACTTTTTGAGTAATGAGAGAAAAGTAACCAAGGGAAAATTGTGCAAGCAGGTAGACGGTGCATGATTTTGCATAATTTGTCAGTTTTTTTCTTCTGAATACTTTAATATTACTTCAAAATGAAAGGAAACTATTTCTATAAAATATGTCAGTCCTTCCAAGCAAATTTTTATCATTTTAAATACTTTTTTTTTTTTTAACTCATGTCCCTTCATCAACAGTTCAAAGATCGAATAACACAAGATATGATGAAATACATAAATTTATTTACATGATTTTCAGGTCTTTGAAATTTGGGAAATAATTTTTGTTCCATGTTTCATACATGGTCTGTTTAAAACGTATGTAACTTTAGAACCAAAAATGGTACAGAAAAAAGGTAAACAGTTTCATAAACTAGAGTACATATGTATCTGTTGAATACATTTTTATATCAGATGCATTAACTTGAAATGTCCAGTTTTGTGTAGAGATTTGTACGTGGGTATCAATTTTTTTTGACAAACCTCACCTTCATCACACACACAATCTACACTGCAAAATATAATTATACAGGGCAGTAAACGGTGGACAAAGGGGTCTGTTGTATCCAGGGTTTTAGGGGCCTAGAATTGGAACCTCTTCCTATTTACTTATACTTGAGGGGGCCCATGTGAGGCTTCTTGCTCTGGGCCCCCAAATTTCTGTTGACAGGCCTGTAAATATATTAACATTATCAAATACTGGCTATTCACTATAAGGTTCTCCAGTGTGGTTTTAGTCATCATAATGCTTAGTTTTTTGTTCTAATATACAGTTAAACGTTGAAAAATTTGCCATATTAATTTTGTGACTCAAAGAAGAAGAGAAGAAGGTAAAAATGACAGAGAAGAAATGAAATCCAGTTTTTATTTAATGAAGAGTGACTTATTTTTGTCAGTGCAACAGCCATTAATCTAACACCGATAAGGCAATTCTAGATAACAACGCTATCACCAAATACCAGAACGTGATCAAAGTTATAGTCAAATAATAAAGCATAGTTTAACTTTGACTGACCTCAAGTCAAACTTATCCAATAGGCTGGGTCCACATAACATCACAACAACTCATAATAATAACTTTTTAACTTTATGGTTAATATTTCTGTAATTATTGGCTTTATTCACATGAAACAAAAACTGGTATAATGTTTAATGTCTTCTCTGTTGGTAAAAATGAACTAAGATTTAATATTTTTTTCAATTTAGTATTTAAAAAGTGGTGGTAAAAACTGAAATGGTTCAACATAAGTGGAGTTTGGATATTTCTTAGTGCACATAGAGTCATGTCCCTACACTAATTTCAAACTCAATTTTGATACAAAGGAACAAACTCGATACTCAATAACGATTCCGATACCACAAAGATCATAAAAAACACTCTATAATCTTATTTTCAACATTAAATCATAGTACTTTCTTTTATATTCCCATGTGTATGGAGTAAGACAGCATTCAGAAATATTTGTGTGCATAGGATAGAAATCCGTAGCCAGGCTGGTGCCACCTAGTGCCTCTGCTCATTTTCATTTCTCTCCAGCGACTAGGTCAGGAATCAGAACACACTAGACGGTTCGCAAAAAAAAACAAAAACGGAAGTGCAAGTTCAGGCAGCAGCCAATCAGCGAAGAGCCAGACATTCTGTGTTGGCAACGATTCCCGAGATCGAGGATTTAAAGCCGGAACAAAGGGAATGTTTGGTGAATTTTATCAAGGGGAAAGACGTTATTGTCCTTCTTCCTATGGGATTTGGGAAAAGCTTAGCTTAGCAGTTAGCCCCATTAGCGGCGCATTACATACGTCATGACCAAATAGCAGCGACTGGTTAAATGAAAAAAGTACCCGCCTACCATTGAGCGAACAAATTCTAACACTGCAAGGTCAGATGGTTTCTACGAAGTGAAACCGTCTGATGAATCAGGCTAAGAAATCCGTGCATATTTGTCTGTAGTTGAGCATAAAATAAATATTCATAAACTCTCAAATGAGTCCAGTCGTACATAAAATGTGTTGTGTGCATTTTGTCCATCAGAATACGAATTGAAAAGTTACGACGTCAAGAATTACAATTTAAAAAAAAATAATTTACATAATTTTTAGTTTAGCCCTGTTTTAGTCCTGGTTCAGTCCTGGTTTATTCCTCCTGGCTCAGTCCTGGTTCAGTCTGTATGTGGCGCTAAAGTCCAGCATCTCGATCGATGTTTCTTCTCCTCAGTAAATAATGCATCTGTGAAGTGATGACATATTTTTGAGAGTCAAGTCGTGTCTGTGAATTCGTATTCGTACTGAAGAAAGCGTAATCGTACATTTTCTTTCCATGATTGTCAATTGTAATTCTTGGTGTCATAACTTTTCAATTTGTATTCTGATGGATAAAATACACACAACACATTTTATGTACGACTGGACTCATTCGAGAGTTTACAAATATTATTTATTTGTTGTCTGTTATTTGTTTATGTATTTATTTTATGCTTAACTACAGACAAATGTACACGGATTTCCCAAATATGCACAGATTTCTATCGTATGGACACGAATACTTCTGAAAGCTTTCTTAAATCTGTGTAATCCCTCAGTGATAGATTCCACAGTGCTCCATGGGCGTATACTAGTCTATGTGCTCTTACTTGTTCTGATTCAGCTCAAGATCATTCTAAAACTACACACGAGACTCATTTCTGTCCTGTGAATGTGACTTTTTTCTAGTATCGAAACCTGCTCAAATCTAATTTCAATATTAATTTTAGTATTGAATTCAGTCTGATTTTCGATCATTTTGACAACCCTACCCTCCACCACATCTGAAGTTATTATTCTAAAATGCAAAATATGTTCTGAAGGCAAAATATTGGGTAGGTAAAAACAAACTGCTAACCTGAACAAGTCTAAGAAGAGTCTCTCTATTCTTTGCCCCCTCCCTATAGAGTACTACGTAACATAATCTCTTTAGAATAAGGAAAAGCACCCATTTTATTTTTAACACATTTTTCTACTGTTAATCATTTGTAATTGCCCCGCAGCCCCAAAGAGGAACTGAAACATGTTGAGATTATAAACTAGAATCATATTATGTCCTGTTTGGAGATTTAAAGACATAGTACAACTGAAAAAAAAAACAGCTATTGTCGCTGGCGGTAAACAACATGAATGAAAAAACAGTGGCTGATAACTAAATATAGACTCACACTAGCTCTGGATTGGACAAGTGCTTAAGTGGCTTCATTTATTTGTTTTGTTTATTTGAGACTTTGAAGATTAAAGGTTCTATACTTCACAAAATTTACTCTTTTGAGGTTTAAGCCGTGTTAAAATGTTGTCATGTCCTGAAAAACAAACCTGAAGTTGTGTTTTGTTTCATTCACACATGTTTGAGTAACTCTTTATTAATAGTCTGTCTAAATCCGTGTATCATTTGTTCATTAGTTTTTCAAAATAAAACCAAAAATAAGAAAAAAATTCTTCATTATTTGTCTCCAAAACCAAAATGAAAAATTTGGATAACGGTTGTTTTTACAGTTTTCAATTTTGTGTTTAAATAAATAATGGAAAAAACATTTTCATGACTTAAACTGCAATGCCGGACTGAACTAGGACTGAACCAGGACTAAACCAGGACTAAACCAGGACTAAACCGGTCTCAGTCTTGGTCTCAGTCCTGATCACTCGACAGTCTATGTAGGTGCACCTCCGGGCCTGTCCCGACACTCCTGGTTCACTCCTGGTTCAGTCCTGGTTCAGTCCTGGTTTCAGTCCTGGTTCAGTCCTGGTTTAGTCCTGGTTTAGTCCTGGTTTAGTCCTGGCTTAGGACAGAGACTGGGCCCAGGAATGAGACCGGGACTGAGGCAGGGACCAGACCAGAACTGAGACTAGGACTGAGACCGGGACTGAGACCAGGACCGAGACCAGGATTGAGATCAGTTTAGCCCTGGTTCAGTCCTGGTTTAGACCTGGTTTAGACCTGGTTCAGTTCTGGTTTCGACCTGTTTTAGTCCTGGTTTAGTCCTGATTCAGCCCTGGTTCGCAGTTTAAAGTCACAGAAAAGATTCCATTATTATTTCCATTATTCATTTAAACACAAAATCGAAAACTGAAAAAAAAATCATCGCTATCAATTTTTTCATTTTGGTTTTGGAGACAAATAATGAAGAAAAGAGTTGTTTTTTTCCATTTCTTATTTTTGGTTTTACTTTGAAAAACAAATGAACAAATCATACATGGATTTGGCTACATCTCCAAAGCTCAAAATACTGTATTCCAACTTGAGATGTCAGGAAGTGATAGTTTTCAAGTCAACAGCTGCTTTTTACCTTTAAGTTCAATAGAGATTGGCAATTCCAGGATTGAAATTAACCATGGGCAAGTACATTTACTTAAGTAACTCGTTAATTAAATTGTGGTTGGAGTAGTTTTTAGTTCCCATACTTTAACCCTACTTGAGTAATATATTAAACACTTTCACTTGAGTAAAAGTTGTGCTTCCTCTTCCCACTAAAGTGACAAAAGCTTTACGTCGACATTATGAAATGATTTGGACATTTGTGTTTCTTGCAGCGCTAATGCTGATTTGATTTAATTTGTCTCATTTTAGTGTCTATCCTTTGAAAATAACATCTTGAATCTTGATTTGTCCTTCCAATTACATCGACTTGAGTTGTTCTTTCTCCAAATGAGTTTTTACTTTTACTTGAGTAATTTCTTGGACGACTATTTTGCACTTACTTCAGCATTACCATTTGAAAGTAAAAGTACTCTTACTTGAATAAACTTTTTGGCTACTCTTTCCACCTCTGTCCAGCTATACACAAATTAAGGATAATATCTAATAGCAATTTTTCGAACAAGAATTACAATTGTGATTTATGTTTGTATTTTAAACACATCCAAAATAATTGATGATAATATGGAAATACTCAAAACTAATACAAGAATCAGATTTCAGAACATGTTTGCACAGATCTAAACTAAGGATATTTTGTTTGTTTGTGGAGTAAATTATTGCACTTAAAGGTCTTATATTACACGAAATGGACTCTTAATGGTGTTACCTCATCAAAAACAGACCTGGAGTTGTGTGTTTTTTTCGTTCACACATGTTTTTGTAATCCTTTATTATTAGTCTTTCTACATCTCCACAGCTCAAAATGCTCTGTTCAACCTAGTTTTCAAGTTAACTGCTAAATATGACCTTTTGTTCAGTAGAGATTGGCATTGTACCTGGATTAGTTTTAATTCCCCGTACTTTTACTCCTACTTGAGTAATATATTTGACAGTGTAACAGTATACTTACTTCAGTAAAAGTTTATTATGAAGTCTACAAGTGACTAAAGTATTGAAATGATTTGAGCATGTGTGTTTTTGTGTTTGCGCTAATGCAGATTTGATTTAGTTTGTCTAAATTTTTTGTCTATAAAATGTATAAAATACCACATATTGAGCATTATTTAATGTTTTGTCCTTCCAAATAATTTCTGGAATCACTACTTTGTACTTAGCATTACTATTTTGAAGTAACAGTACTCTTGAATAAACTTTTTGGCTACCTCTGTCCAGCTGTACACAAATTAAGGCTAATATCTAATTGCAATTTTTCAAACAAGAATTATGATTGTGATTTATGTTCTTATTTTAAAAACATCCAAACTAATTGACAAAAATACTGAAATATACAAAACTAATGTATATGTTTGCACAGATCTAAACTACATGGTTAGAGTTTTTACACAGAATAAGAAAGGATATTTTGTTTGTTTGTGGAGTAAATTACTGCACTTAAAGGTTTTATATTACACAAAATTGACTCTTGTGAGCTTTCAGTCCTGTTATAATGTTGTTACCTCATCAAAAACAGACTTGGAGTTGTGTTTTTTACTACTACTACTACTAGCATTACTATTTTGAAGTAACAGTACTCTTGAATAAACTTTTTGGTGACTCTTTCCACCTCTGTCCAGCTATACACAAATTAAGGCTAATATCTAATTGCAATTTTTCAGACAAGAATTGTTATTGCGATTTATGTTATAACTATTCCGAGTTCACGTTTTAAACACATCCAAAATACTTGACAAAAATACTGAAATATTCAAAACTAATGTATATGTTTGCACAGATCTAAACTACAGAGTTAGGGTTTTTAAACAGAATAAGAACGGATATTTTGTTTGTTGGTGGAGTAAATTATTGCACTTAAAGGTTTTATAATATGCAAAATTTACCCTTTAGAGCAGGACAAACTCAAATTCACAGAGGCCAAAATTAAAAACTGGGACTAAGTCGTGGGCCAAAGTAAATATTTATTGAAAAATGTCAACAACATCTGCATGTTTTCTCTTCTTTCGAGATATGTAATAAACCTTTTCTTATTAAAATACATTTTGAATAATAGTTTTGCTTAAACATTGAATCCAGAACAAGCATAATATAAAATAATAACAATATTTTAAATAAATAATGTTTCTATAGTCTATCTGTAGCTAGCGGGCAGCTCTAATACAGATTTGATATGATCTCGTGGACCAAATATAATTATATGGCGGCCCAAATTTGGACCCCGGGCCTGAATTTGACATGTCTGCTTTAGAGCTTTAAGCCATGCAATAATGTTTTTACCTCATCAGAAACAAACCTGGAGTTGTGTTTTGTTTCGTTCACACATGTTTTTGAAATCTGTTATTATTAGTGTTTCTACATCTCCAAAGCTCAAAATGCTCTGTCCCACCTTGTGATGTCATGAAGTGTTAGTTTTCAAGTGAGCAGCTACCTTTAAACTTTAGTTCAGTAGAGTTATTTGGCCATTTCAGGGCAGAAATAAATGATCGAAATGATTCAAGAGAAAGTGTATGTAAGTTTAAAAACAAGGATCAATTCACGTGCAAGTATTACCACATGGCATCGCAAGGTGGAACAGAGCGTTTTCTGTTTGAGGGAAGAACTCAGTGTAAATATGCAGGATCTGTGTGTTAAACATGTGCGAATGAAACAAAACAAAACACAACTCCAGCTATATTTATGATGAGGAAACAGGATTACAACCTAGATCAGAAAATATCACGTAATGTAACATGTGCTCTTTAAATCCATTCAAATGTCAACTGCGTTTGTATTGCAACATCTGAACCTAAACGGGGGACTTGCTAGACTTCCTCCTGCACACACCAACCCACGTGTACACATCGTCCACCACCCCGAACTACTCCCATTGATAAGAACCGGGCAGATATGCAAAAAAAAAAATAAAATACAACGTTACAAAGCATGTGGACTGTACCTTTAAGCTGCTGCAAGTGTCCCGTCTGAGTCTCGTCCGAGTTTTTGGCTTGGCTGGTGTGAGAAGTTGTGAACGCAATCCGTGGCTCTTTGGTTCTGAGCTGGAACGAGTAAAGTTGTATGAGAAAAATGAGAGAAAAGGAGGAGGAGAAGAGAGAGGGAGAGAGAGAGAGAGAGAGAGGGAGGGAGGAGCAGACGAAAGGAGGGGTGGTGGTAGTGGCCGTGAGGGAGAGGAGGCGGAGTTTACTGGTTTGGGACAGAAAAAAAAAAAAAAAAAAAAAACAGCATGTGGTTACGGGTTGTAGTTTTTGGAGGAATTGTAAGAGTAGTTTTGTGACACCTTAGTATATTTTTACTACTACTTTTACTTCTGCTACCTCTGAGTGATATTATTTTGAAGTAACAGTAGTCTTACTCGGGTGAAAGAATCGATTACTTTTCCAACTGTGAGAAAGTCAAGCTGCCCTCACACTTGCACAACCCTAAACCTAATTTAACTAGGACTAAACCAGGACTAGATCAACAATAGACCAGAAGTAAACTAGGACTAAACCAGGAGGACTAAATCAAGACGAGACCAGCTCTAAACCAGGACTAAATCAAGACTGAACAAGGAGTAGATCATGACTAGACCAGTGCTAAACCAGGACTGAAGCAGGACTAAACCAGGACCAGACCAGGATTAATCCTGGACTGAATTAGGATTAAACCATGACTAGAATAGGACTAAACTAGGACTAAACCAGGACTAAACCAGCTCTAAACCAGGACTAAACCAGCACTAAACTAGCACTAGACCAGGAGGACTATATCATGACTAGACCAGCACTACACAAGGACTGAATCAGGACTAAACCATGATTAAACTATGAATAGAATAGGACTAAACTAGGACTAAACCAGGACTAAACCAGCATTAAACCAGGACTAGACCAGCACTAAACCAGGACTGAATCAGGACTAAACCAGGCTTAATCCTGGACTAAATCATGACTAAACTATGAATAGAATAGGACTAAACCAGGGCTAAATAAACCAGGACTAAACCATACTGGGACTAGACCAGAGCTAGACCAGGACTAGACTAGGACTAATCCCAGGAAGAATAGTCTTTACCCCAGTAAAGATGAATGTGGATCCAATAAATTAAAAAAATAATAATAATGATAATTAATTAAGTAATTAATCCATGACTAAACTAAGACGACAAAATCATGACTAGACCAGCGCTAAACCAGGACTGAATCAGGACTAAACCAGGACTAAACTATGACTACAACAGAACTAGACCAGGACTAGACCAAGACTAAATCAGTGATTAGACCAGCGCTGAACCAGGATTGAATCAGGACTAAACCAGGACTAGACCAAGACTAAACCAACACTAAACCAGGACTCGACCGGGACCAAACTATGTGTTATAAATTTCAGTTTTGTCTCTGCGCTAAGTCCCTCCCCCTTCAGAGCACTATCACAACCCAATCAGCGTGCAACATAAAGAAAACTCCAGAAAGTCTATTTTGCATAATACCCTCTGTTTAAAATAACATCTTGTCTCTTACTCGGGTACAGTTTTGTCTTCTGTTGTGGAGTCCTTCAGAGGTGCTGCAGACGAGAGGGGGAGGTGGATTGTGGGGTCAGAAAGACACAGAGAATAGGTCCTTCTTGTTTTTTTCTTCTCCTCCTTCCTTTCAAATGAGGTTTTTATGCTTGAGAGCTTCAGCCTGACTGCAGATTCCTGTGGACACACCAATAGAAGGGACTGAGTGATTGGTTACACAATGAGGAAAACGTAATTGCAGTAGTGGAAACAGTACAAAGAATGTGTACTCAAGTCAAAATACAGCAACGTGGTTTAGTTTTTTAGCCCTGTAATTGTCAATCTTTACTAAACTAAAGGTAAAAGCAGCTGTTAACTTGAAAACTAACGCTTCTTCATGACATCACAAGGTGGAACTGAGCATTTTGAGCTTTGGAGATGTAGATAGACAAGTGTTTCCCAAACTTTTTTTTTCTGGGGACCCATATTTTATCCTTCAAAACCCAAGTCAAAAGACATTATTCGTAAATTTGACCATTATTAGGGATGGGCATTCGATGAAATGTCATTAATCGATCATTGGGAGAATTAACGATCGATTATCGATTAATCATTCATGTTTTTATATTAAAATGGTCATCATTATTATTACTACTAATAGGCATAAATAAATTCAACTTTACAACGTTTAAACCATAACCACTCTAGAGCCACATCAGTCTGTTTGAGATTATAATGTGTTTAATGCAGCTTTGCGCAACTCTCGCAGAAACGAACCTTTAAAAAGCATAACTAATTTGCATAAACTAAGCAAGAAAAAAAACTGCTCTTGTGCGCTGATGCAGTCAATTTCTGTCAGACTAAAAGACACGACTCAGTGGAATACAGTTTAGTGTGACCATACTTGCATTTGACAAAACCAGGACACCGTATGGGGGGTGGGAGGTGGGGCCTTGTCATCGACATGGAGCTACTCTCACCTGGCAAAGCTTTTTAATGTTTTTCGGTGTCCTGCTGAGCTTTGAGGTCCCTGACACCACCACTGGACACTGAAACATATGTGCTGCTTTGTACACTGTGTACATGGCCTCACACTTGTTTCGACCGGGACAAAAAGCGGGGAATTTCTTGTACAAGTCATCGTTAAAAGTGCATTTGTTCTTCGGCACATTGCAGGCTGACCGACTGTTTGTGTCTGCTCGCTCCTTACGAGAGACGCTCAGTTTAATGGCCCAATGAAAGATAATGAAAACTTGAACATTTGCATCACTTTATAAAAAAAAACAACTGGATGGCCAGGACAAGACATAGAAAACGGACATGTCCGGGGAAAAACGGACGTTTGGTCACCTTACAGCAACCTACAATCGGTTTGTCGATTAAAAATTCTTAATGATCAATTATCGATTAATCGACTAATCATGCCCATCTCTAACCATTATTGAACATTAATGAGGATATTTTATTTTTGACTGAGTGATCATGTCCCTCTAAACTTTGAATTAGTATTAATCAAGTTTTAAACAATGAAAAACACTACCATATTTTCCGGACTATTGGGCGCGCTCTTAAGCCTTCAACCCCATCAAAAAACGACTGTGCTCCCCGCAATCCAGAGCGCGCTATACACGAATCCACATCAGCACGACTTCAGTAAAATACAAAGCCGCAACACGCAAACACACACAGAGCAGACAGCGACCACACAGCGAAAAACACCCACAGACACACTCATCACTCCACGCCGACGAGGAACGGAACGGAGGAACAAACCGAAAAAGTGAGTGCAACTTGCCACTTCTAGACACGACTGAACAACTGAGTCACTGCGAACACGCCGACAATCCAGCAATCCCAGACAGCACCCTCCTACTACACGCCACAACTGAACAAAGCCCAGAGTCACCGTGAACGCGCACAAACAAAGTCCCACTGACCCATCCAACTGTTGTGTTTTGTTTAAAGTCCGGTGAGGTTTATTTGTGAAAAAAATTTAAAAATTAGATTTATTTAATGACAGTGCGTCTTATAATCCAGAGCACATAATAGTGCAGAAAATACAGTAATTGAACTCTTTAAAGGATCCATAAGTCGCCTATTTGGACATTGAATGTAGCCCATTTCTTTGTCTTTTGAACATTGAAATTGAACCAGCAATATTGGACCAAAATAGTCAATAAAATAAGTACAGAAAGATTACAAATTATACAAAACATGTCTTAACATTTCAGCATTACTAATGAGATAGGTGGGCCTGTCTGTGTTCCAGTCCGAGGTGCAGGAGGACAGCACAACACACATATCAGGCGCATGTCAGGTGACCCAAGAAAAATCTCTTGTGACCCACCTGAGTGTCACAACCCAGTCTTTGCAAAACAATAAGACAGACTCAAGTAAAGTGTTACTCAAACATGTGTGAATGAAACAAAACACAACTCCAGGTCTGTTTAAGATGAGGAACAACATATTAAATTGGCTTAAAGTTCGTAAGAGTCAGTTTTGTGTAATATACAACCTTTAAAACCACAGTATGTAACTTTAGCTTAAAATGTAATGAAATAAAAACATTTGGTTCTTTTGGTTGCGTTTACTGCACTGAAAAATGTGTTCGTACTGTGAGCAGGCTTGCATCTCCACAAACCTGACACTTACTTGGAGATAGGGTTGTCGCAGTTAATGAATTTCTCTTTGGTTTTCACGCAGATATAGTGTGTGTAGCGTGGGAGAATTAACATTTGGCTTTGGAACAAGTGCTGCTGCATCTCTCCAGCTCACTGTGGCAGCTCCGGTCAGAGTCCTGCACCAAGTCGGGTCAGAGTCCTGCACCAGGTCGGGTCAGAGTCCTGCACCAGGTCGGGTCAGCGTCCTGCACCAGGTCGGGTCAGAGTCCTACACCAGGTCGGGTCAGAGTCCTGCACCAGGTCGGGTCAGAGTCCTGCACCAGGGTCAGAGTCCTGCACCAGGTCGGGTCAGAGTCCTGCACCAGGTCGGGTCAGAGTCCTGCACCAGGTCGGGTCAGAGTCCTACACCAGGTCGGGTCAGAGTCCTGCACCAGGTCGGGTCAGAGTCCTGCACCAAGTTGGGTCAGAGTCCTGCACCAGGTCGGGTCAGAGTCCTGCACCAGGTCGGGTCAGAGTCCTGCACCAGGTCGGGTCAGAGTCCTGCATCAGGTCGGTTACCCTCGGACATAAAGAGAAAAAAAAACCACAGCCTGTAGAGCAGGTGTCTGCGAAGCGAGATCTGGCGACGGCTGCACTTACCTCTGTGGGGCGCGGAGCTCTGCACCGGTCCTTTCGACTTCAGTTTCATGATTTTAATTCTTGAAGTTGCAACTTTTCAATTCATAATCTGATGGAATCTTCAGTTAGAATACTTTTAATTTGTATGTGATTTATCACAGGCACGGGAGGTAACTGGTGGAATGTTAACAGGTGGGTGTGGGCAGTACCCGTGCAGGACTCTGGGTCAGGTCACATTGCTCATGTGCGGGGATCGTGGTGAGTCAACATGCACCGCAGTGAGCCTGCGGTGTAAGTACTCAAAGTAAGTACCCAAAGTACTATTAGCTAAGTACAGTGACTAAAAATGTTTATTTATTGTGGGTGTTGTGGGTGTTGCTTTATGTTTTTGTGTTTATGTTGATTATTCTGTTGTCTGTAATAAAACAAAAAGTACTAGTACTAACAGTACTAACAGTTAATACGTCTGACTGACGCACGTCTGATCTCATGTCTTCAGTGTGTTACAATAAACTAAAGCAGCAAATACAAATATTGACCAAAGGTTATGTAACACTGTGAACTTCACTATTTTCCGACCAAATGACCCCAAAATGTACCAAGTTTAATCGCTACACTAATCATTAAAAAGATTGGAAAGTTCCACAGCAGTTCAAGTTGTGGTGGATGTTTTATACAGATTTATGTTGATAATATATCCCTCTGGTAATGAAAGAAAAACAACATTTTTTATAACTTGAAACTAAGAAAAGCAATAATAAATACAAATTTCCTGAAAAATAACCAATGAAAATCAGACACTGTTTTTGAATTGTTGTTCAACAGAATTATTGAAAAAAACAAACTAATGAAACTGGCCTAGACAAAAATGACGGTACCACTAGAAAAGATTGTAAGCAACTGAACAATAGGGGCATGTTAAACTTCAGTGTATCTCTAATCTGCATCACAGGTTCTTCAAACTTGTCCTCAGTCAGTCTGCCTGCTTAAAGGGACATGTGTCACTGTGCTGTTTGGAGACATGATGGAGACAACACTGTATATGGATCAGAGAAAGAGAAGAAGAGAACTGTGTCAGGAGACTAGAAAGAAAATGATGGACAAGCAGGTTAAAGATAAAGACAACAAGACCGTCTCCAAGCAGCTTGATGTTCCTGTGATTACAGTTGCACGTTCTTCAGAAGTTTAAGATCCACAGGACTGTAGCAAACCTCCCTGGACGCGGCTGCAAGAGGAAAATTGATGACAAATTGAAGAGATGGATCACACGATTGGAACCAAAGAGCAAAGAGCCAAGAACAACCTCCAAAACAAATTAAATGTAACTTGAAGGGCAAGGTACATGAATCTCAGATTGCACCATCCATCACTGTTTGAGCCAAAGTGGACTTCATGTGAGGACATCACTGTTGAAAGTAAATCATAAAAAAGTGAGACTGGAATTTGTCACAATGCATATGGACAAGCCACACAGTTTCTGGGAGAATGTCCTTTGAACAGATGAGACAAAACTGAAGCTCTTTGGCAAGGCACATCAGCTCTATGTTCACAGACGCAAAAATGAAGCAGACCAAGAAAAGAACACTGTCCCTACTGTGAAGCACGGAGGAGGTTTGGTTTTGTTCTGGGGCTGTTTTGCTGCATCTGGCACAGGGTGTCTTGAATCTGTGCAAGGTACAACGAAATCTCAAAACTACCAAGGTATTTTGGACCGAAATGTGTCACCTAGTGCCAGAAAGCTTGGTCTCGGTTGTAGGTCATGGGTCTTCAAACAGGATAATGACCCAAAACACACAGCTAAA